GATTTTATTCAACAACTCCTGGAGAGCTTTCTATTGTTATTAATACATTCTCCGTCAATTCGAATTCCGGCTTCAACATCCGCTACTGTTTCTTGAAAGATTTCCTCAGAGTATAGTTCAACAGCAGCGGTGATATTATACATCTCTGTCTGACACCACGTTTGATCTTGATGTCATCTGATTCTCCTGCCTTTGTACGGATAGGCGAAGTTTGACTCCAGTAAAGATTGCTAATAATTGTTAGATAAGAAGTGTTTATTTAAATATTTGTCAATATCTCCATCAGGTTGTCGTACTTTACTGTATAGAATGCTTTATGGTAGTTCACATCTCTACATCGTTGAAATAGCAATTGTATGCTAAAGAGAGCCTCTCTCCTACCCAATGCATTCCGAAAACCAAACTGTGTACGGCTGATTTTTTCTTCGTATAACCTACATATTCTTTAAAAATAGCTTTAATATGTGGTTCATTAATCATTGTAGGATATGGATTGTATTTTATTTTGTAGAGCAATAAACGTTGACTTCAGCCATGAACATTACTCTGTTTAAATATATTATGTCATTGAATATTTTTGTTAGTCATTGAATACCGTCGGTGTTATATAGCTTCATGAGTTCAAATTTTTATCATGTTGTAGTAAATAATCCATTATATTTAAAAGTACTTCAGTAATTGGTCTTAATTCGAAATTTTTAGTGTTAAAGAACGCGATTAATTTAAAGAATAATTACAATATGGTGGTGAAATGACGACGATGAATGTTTCTTGGTACGGTTTCCTGAGTCAGAATGAAAGCTTTTGCAATATAAGTACGCAGTATAAAGTATAAATAGCAGTAAGTCCATTATTGCTTCTGTTTGATTTTCCCGATTCAATAGCTCCATTTTTTACTCTAACGCCAAAATTCTAGTTTATCAATTCCTCCCATATGTTCGTTGTAGAGCCGAATTACGTCAGATCTTAAAATTTTTATAATATTTTTGATGATAAAGCCTTCACAATAGCTTTATTATCATACCATTGGTCATCATGACTTCTACAGCACCGCTTAACAAACTACCACGAGATATATTTGTGCGCAGATACTGTAATAAATTATAGTTTGAAAAATAATTATCATAGAATAATTGACTTTCTCTCTCACTTTGTTAACTATTTTTCATCCACTCCTGAATGTAAGTCTCTCCCAATTACTGTCATCTTTCTTAATATTGCGCCAATCTAATTCACTGTTTGCCTGGCACTGCTCATATGTCATCTACTTTTTAAAATCTTCTTATGTTTCTTGTTGTCGTCTTTGGTCTCCATTCTAGAATCCTCCGTGTCTATCTATTGTCATTATATCGGGCTACGTAACCTGCCCAGTGCCATTTCATTTGCCTGCATTAGCAGTTGACCTTAGCTGAACTCTGACCCTCTACATATAGGCTGCATCATGTGCCCTAGATTGCCGCCTCTGTACGTTTACTAATGATATAAAAGAACACAAATACGCATTTTGTTCATTATAAGATATCATTGAATTAAAATGATTTAAAATTCTTTGTCTATTAATGTCATTTACTGTGTGATAACTTGTATTTGCAGAATTCACCAAACTCATGTGACTGAAGCTTAATTTTTTTCATAACTTCGTATAACCTGTCCATTTTCCCTCTCTTTCTAGTGGATATGTTTGCATATCGACTAACATCGACATTCAGTGTTTCAGCCGTATACGCGCGGACATGCACGGTTTTCTACCGATATAGGGTAATTAAAAACTGTAATAACTCGTGACACGCACTGTTTTTCTTCCTTATTTGAAATGTCCAAAGATAGTTATTAAGAAAACTTACTAGATGGCGTACTTATCTGAATTTTAGTTAATTTATGACATTCATGGTTTTCTCCCGAGACCCTTCAAATTATAATTGTATGATTTTTATATAATAAACAAAAATGCAAGTTATCCTTACTTTGTGTTCACTTAGTCACAGTGTAGACGAATGTCTACGTTCTTAGTATTTTAGATAATTAAAACCGTAGACATATAATACAAGATAGACCGACTGCTGCAATACAGACGCGTTCCCCCAGTGCGACAGAGAAAACTGTCGCAAAGCAGTTCCTGCATCTCTTTCTAATGGACCGGGTTTATCGACCACGTGAACTACTCATTAATCATGTAGGTCATGTGGTCGATAAACGTGGTAGATTAAAAAGAGATGCAGGATTACTTTGCGGCAGTTTTCTCTGTTGCACTGGGGGAACGGGCTGGTATTTCGACGATCAGTCTATCTCGTATTATATATCTAAGGTTAAAACTGGTATTCTTATTTCCAAATTACATAAACTAATTTAGTAGCTGATGTAGACTTATGCCTATATGGTGACCGAAAGGGTTAAGACAGTATCTAAATAAATTTCAAAGTTACTTTAGATATACGCACTATCATTTGTTAGTCATACTCTGCTTCATCTATTACAACCAAACAACCAAGCCAAAAGGTAATAATCTACCTAAAATGTAACCAAACATCTATGTAAACCTGCTAAACATAAAAATACACTAAATATAATAATAAATAATATTTCACTACAAATTATATCGGGAAAAGACCGAAAACTGAAAAAGTCAAACCTTGACAGCGACGATTTCGGCGTACCCCAGGGTTCCTCCCCGTAGCGTCGTTACTGATCGTTTCAGTGTCTGAAAACCACGTTGACAAGCTTAAATGATATTCATGGTTCATGTATCGATGTATGATCATGATCAACTATCTACACCAAAAACTACCATGCAGCAAATACAAGTGGTGAAGTCTATTGGCTATTCACGAAATGAAATTGATGAGATGAGAAATGAGATGAAAAAATGTTACAGGTAACGATATCAATGTACCAAGCTAAATTAAAATGATGGAAATCGACAGTATTCCTGTTGCAGACATTTATCTAGTGATCGCAAATCTATCGGAATATCAGAATCATGTCAGAATTATCCGATATTGGCGATCACCATTGCGAAGGGTTCTCGATCAATTGCCACATGAAATAATTGTCCTACATTTGACATCTGACTCTAGTCACGGATGTTTTTTAACCAACCTTTTTATACCTCCACGGCCTTTAATTTGGCATTAAGGATCAGTTGTAGTATTATATATCGATTTTTTCTCACTATATGTCCAAGATAAAACAATTTCCGGTATTTAACAACCTTTAGCAATCCCCTATCTTTGTTTATCCATTAGTTTTTGTTGCTTCAATTTTGTTTATGCTTATTACTTTTGGTATCCATACTTCTGCTACCATAACAAAGTAGAGATTTTTAATAACACGAATATATTTGTCTTTTATTTCTATATTTTTAGCATCTGCATTAATTTTACATGCTTTATTTTGTAGAATGCCTTTTCCACGAAGTCGGCAAAGCATGCAAATACATCTTTTCTTTACTTTTTATATTATATAAGTGAATTGTACTGTCGAAGATTTTCTAAGGTCAATAAAACTTAATTATTCTCGCCAGAGAGTAAATAGATCTCTTGGATGATGTAAAATCGGCATATAGTTCGACTTCTACATATCTATTTGTGTAGTACATTTAGATGTAGCCATGATATTACTGTTTGATTCCCGTATCTATTTTTTATACGGGATATGTCAATACTTGACATATTTTTCTTTTTTCTTCTTATTCGCTAATCTGATACAGGTGTCGTGTTATCATGAGTTAACATAAGTTGGTCTTGCCGATGTTCATTCATCTTTCTTGATCTTCCGTCAATCTTGCACAGTTTGATGGTGAAAAGCTAATGATTAGGTCGATGTGATCGGTGTACTTTGTAGGTTATTCAACTCTGGCACTTTTACCTTTCATGTCACTTTGTATTGTGAGCTTCTTAAAGTCATTTCTTTAAAAAAGTGTCCAAAATAGGTTAATATTTGCTCTGTTATATGTGTCCGTAACCTCGATGTTCATTTGTTCTAATATTGACCAAACTGTTCTGTGGGCTCTCCAAGGAATTCTCAGCATATTGTTCTACAGTCTTCTGTAAAACATCTCGAAAGCATATAATCTCCTTTTTTAGCTTTACTTGAGGGTTCAACATTTTGATGCGTGTAGAAAAATTTGAAAGACTAGTGCTAATTTTAGTTCTTTCACTGATTTCATGGCTTCTTCAGAGTTTAATCAGCTTATTCATTGCATTTTTTGCTATTGATATTGTTCGTCTTCTTTCTTCAGTGTATCCAGCTGTGTTAGTCATCATGGATCCCAGATATACCAGGTGGTCAACAAGCTTGATGTTGGTTGTTGTTGGCTATAGAAATTACCATGATCCATATCTTTTCTCTGTTTATGCTGTGATCTGTCTCTTTACTGATGCATTTTATTCACTCCAGTAATTGACATAATTCCATTATCAAGTTGGCGAGAAGGGTTATGTCATCTGCGTATCGTAAATTAAAGATTTTCTTTCACCTAGAGCGACACCGTCATTCTATCTATCAGTGGCATTACTAATTATCCATTCCCCATATATAATAAATAGAATTGGAGTCAGTGTGCAGCCTTGCCTTACCCCATTAGTAACGCCAAAACTTTCAGTAAGTTCCTAATTATGTTTAACTTGACTGAAGTTCTGATGTTGTGACTGTTATGTTATTTTTCTCGACATCCCTAATCCTTTTATGTTACATACTTCAATATGTCTGATTAAGTATAGCCATATTTATAAAATATCCTATTTATCAGAGTCTTGAAAATAGGTTTAACTTTCCTTATTACCTCAAATCTTTCAAAATAGATCACAACCAACTGCAAACCGAATCTATGTATGTACACAATCGCAACAGAAAAACAAATAAAGACCTATCTACTCAGGAAGCTCGATACTCACCCTGACAGGCAGCTAGAAAGGAATAAACAAAAGATTTTTTGATAACAAAGCCACTTTTTCTAATCATTTCTGTACATTTTTTGTATTTAGATAATGATAAGTGCATACCTTGACTGCTTGTAGCACATCGATACCTGCGCTGCCCGTTTGGCCCTTTTGGCCTTTTTCACCAGGCCTGCCCTGAAAAAAAAAACAATAATATTATATATCACAACGTACAAGGCATACTTATCTTCATTTATGAAATACAAACATCAAAATAGTCTAAGGGATACCTATATTAATAGCTTTAAATCAATGTTAGCTGAAAATACAAAAATAAATTTATGTTTTTAAGTTTTATTTATTTACTTTTACAATTTCCAGTAATGGAAAGATATCATTTAAATCGCGAAACGCAGTGACGTGCTATCGAGATGCTTCAAGCTGGCAGAAGTCAAAGAAACGTGGCTGAGGCCCTCCACACAAACAGTAGTGCTATTAATCATTTGTGGTTAAGGTGTCAAGAAACTGGTGATGTTGCTGAACGTCATACACGCGTACAAGCAGAGTGAAGACCGTTTTATTAGGTTGCAGGCTTTACGAGATCGCACTGTAATTGCATTACAATTACAAATGAGGCAGCAAGAAACCCATCGGGAGTTTGTAAGTGGCCAAACCTAATAAAAATAGACTGCATGAAGTAGGGTTAAATGCTCAAAGACCTGTAAGAGTGCCTGTGTTATCCAGAGGAAATCGCGCTCATCGATTTCAGTGCGCACAAGACCACGCAAATTGGGATAGACATGAGTGGGCCTCTACTATGTTCACAGTTGAGTCCCGATTTGGATTTGCACCAGATACAAGACAAACAAGAATTTGGAGATGAATTGGCAATGCTAAACGGTTGACCACCATACAGGAGGTGCATAGACAGCAAGGTGGCAGTATAATGGTATGGGGTGCATCACTCTTGGTGGAAGAATCAATCTCGTTTGTCTGGAACTTTTTTAAATGAAAACAGCTGGACCACAATTTCAATTAATGGACAAAATAGCCAGAGTTGTGAGAAAAAAATCCTCAAAGATAATGAAATTGAAGTTTTACCATGGCCTGCACACTCAACAGATTTAAACCCAATCGAGCATATATGGGACATATTGGGCAGATGCATTTTACAACAAAATATTGTGTTTAATTCAGAAAGCAATTGTATGAGGGCCTTTCAATGGATTGCAACAGAATACCACAGCAAGACATTGACTATCTTATCTTGAGTTTGCCTTACAGATGTAGGACAGAAATATTTGCGCCCACACACGCGCTAAACCATGCGCCAATCCCTGCACCAATCCCCATGTAAACCCATACGCCAACCTCCACCCAGGATATCGAAAGCTTAACGCAATAATAACTGACGCGGTTCAACCCGAAAGACTCTTGAGTATAATATTAATTCATATAATAGTATATAGGTTTATTTATGCTAAGATACATAAACACATAGATTAGCAGACCAATTTATCAACTTCTAATAGCAAGTTAAATAATTAAATATTATAATTATCAATAATACTTACTGGTTCTCCTTTGGGACCATCAAGTCCTATAGGTCCCTGAAACATAAAATGGAATTTTAGTATGTTTCCTTGTTAGTGTCTGAGTTGTAAAAGGGAAATTGTCACGTTAATGGTTCTTGAAACAAGTTACCAGAAGATTAACAAAAAAACCTGCAGCTTTACATGTTTTGTTTGTATATGTGTATATTGTGTAATAGCTCTTCCTATGCAACTTATTCCCATTTCTAATCATCACCGTCACACAGCCTGTAGCATCCATTACCGAACATACATCGTAATTAAATTTGGAATTCTACAATATAGCTGCAATCCTAACGTTGATCGATCCGTGACTCGCTGAGTTGCTCTTATTTTTTTTTTTTGAGATTTGTAAGAAGTTTCTGCACTATAAATCAACACTAATTATCATGTTCATTCATATCTTAGCAGATATGTTGTAGTTCGTCATTGAGCTTCAGCAGCTCGGATAGTTTAATAACTGATATTTCTCCACTGGTCATCCGTTACATGTACTGCCTTAGTATACTGTTTGTTAAGAAGCTTGTTATATGCTTTGAGAAGTAAATGGTGATGCTTGTTGTTATAACAACTGTTTTTCCATAAGCGTTTTTATAATTAGTAAGGGATCGTTTGAACTATATTCCAAGCTGAAACATCCAAGCTCTTTAGGCTAATCGCAGTATAGTTTAGAAGTTAATCTTCTTGTTAATGTTTTTGTAAATACTTTGTACTGAGGTTCTGTTGTTTGTCATTTCTTTAAATGCTATTTCAAATTTTTTGTAGATGTGATTTCCAGCATATTTTCTGAGCCGTGATTGCAAGCTTTTGGAACATTTGTTATGCCATTGTTAGCGACATTTTTCTCTATAGAAAGCTGTAGAAATCTCCTACTGTCTGAAGTATTTTTATTTATCTGATGTTACTATATCTATTGGAACACCAAAGTTTATGAACATTTATTTTATTCTTACCATATTTCGTATTTTCGTATTTCGTTTTTTCTATATGTATTTTCGTTTCTATCTCTCTCATATTCTTTGGCTTATTCCTATATATGCTGCTAGCGTCATGTACGATTCTTCTTCTTTTTTCAATAAGTTCAGATATTTTATTTTACTTACTTTCTTATTTTACTTTTTATATTGTAATTTAGAGCTCTTTCCATTCGGTTATATATTTCCTCCAGGTCTAGGTTCTCTAGGTTTTGAAGACTGTTCTCCACATATTCTGTGTATTTAGAAGGGTTTTCTGTGGGTGCTTACTCCTTGTTTCCTAGTTTGTCCATTGTTATTCTAGTTTCTTTTTTGTTATAACTTCCTTTTGTGTCTTGGCATTTATCACTATTTTTATTCTCACAGATCGATGATCGCTACTTACTGAAAACGTATTTAATACGCTCACGCCTTGAACTAGTTTGTTTCGATTAGATAATTTCTAGATTTTATTTGCGTTTAAATACCGTTTGAACTTGTTTATGTCCACTTTCAACGAGGAGCTTATCTACAGAAGGTATTTATTATGTCAAGTTTATATTTCAGTGCGAACTACAGCATCGTGGCAGCAATCGTGTGCAACTTTGTTTCTTGCACCTGTTTATTAGCGATCAATGACCAATTCTTCTTCATCTTCTTTTCCTCCTATTTTTATGTTGAGTTTACCAATTAATATTGCAATACCAGCGGCATTCAATTTTATATGCTAAAGTTCCTGTTGCAGTTCTATAATTGTTTTTTTCGGACAACCTAGTCCAGATTACCAAAAAAAATATTTGTAACCAGTTCTTGTTTCTATTTTTAAGGTTTTAAATATATAACATCATAGTTTAGTTTTCTCATCATGTGACCCAGTTTTTTTCTCATCTTTGTCTATTACTCCCTTTATATAATCAAACAGTAGTGAAACGATTGCATTATTTTTTACTCTTATTGATGAAATCTTATATGATTTGGTTCACTTACATTAGTAGCTTTGACGGCTCTGTCAAAAACAGTTTATAATATTTTAAAGAAATATTGTCGATTTATTAATATTTTTTTGTTCTTAATAATGGTGAAGTGCATACCAAATATGTCCTATCCATCAAATTCTATACAATAACTAAACAGTTACACATTTTATCAAAAAAACCTCATTTCATCACTATTTCCTGATTTGTTTGTTTCGTAGCGACTAATAACTTGTTTCATACCAATTACAGCGTCGGAAAATGAACGACGTCAGTGAAAATAGTCCGGAAATGCGACAATTTCCTTTTCACATGCATGATTGAATCCAGGTGTTAATGGTACAGGTCGGTTGGGTTATTAAAGCAAAATTAGTGTTAAAAAAACAGAGACGAGGATGCTAATAGTGGCTAATATCAGTCGGTTAAGGGTCGAACATCTACAGGAGTATATAGGGTGTTAAATAAGTATCTAAGTGAGTTTCTACTAGATTAGTTTTGCCCCAAAGCCGTTTCTCCGTGTCACTTTTATGTCTAAAATTAATGAAAAAATAAAGTATCTTATGTATATAACAGTAAATATTTGATTTTTTCAATAAAAAATTATATTGATTAGTTTTTATTACAGATTTTTGATTACTTTTTGAGATAGTGGATTTCCTTTTAATAAAATATAATAAAATTTATCATAGACATAAAAAGTATCATTTTTAAGTAATAAAAGCACTTCAGTTGCCGATAATTGATCAGTTTATTAAATTTAGAATTTCTGTTCCTATTAAATGATACGTAATTATGTTACATTGTCATTTATTGTATTTTATTGTAATTGTGTTTTTTATTGCGAAATAAGATGCAGAAGTAGAAACATAGAGTGTGGATTCTTCTTGTTGTGCAACTTCTTATAGAGTGCCTATTGACTTCATTTTGGTTTACCTTCGTTATAAGATAGTCCATTTTTTTAAATACAATTTCTTTGGGCACCTGTTCCATTTATTGTGGTTGTTAAATAATGGTAGTTTGCTATATTTTCAATTTAAAAGCCATTTATATTAACATGTCTAAGTTGTAATGTAGTCTTACTAAAGACCATTTACATATAATTTTCTGAAAGTATTTTCTGCGAATCATCATGCACTTCTTACATATCATCCTGTGTGGGAGACACGGAGAAGAAAAACTTAACATATATTCCATAAACATATTCCTGCAACATCAAAAATATATACCCCAAAATACAGTTTACTATGGAACGGGAGAATATCCAACAACTTCCATTCTTAGATGTGTTGGTTATAAGGAAAGAAGACGGAAGCAGAGAATATACAGTATACCGAAAACCAATCCATACAGATATTTACACGCTCATTCTTACCGTCATCTGCACAATTATATTCGGTAATCAAAACCCTATAAAACCCTAACCCAATAAGTATCCATATATCTCCGATATGGCTCAATTGCGTCTAATCTTCTGCACATATATTCGTTCAAGTTCCACGATTCAACATCACAAAACAGGACAGAGAGGATGTTTGCAATATTCTTACTTTTATACCAAACGAGATGTGGCTCTTGACGAAGGCACCCATCTGGGGTGGATCTAGCTTTTCTAGCTGTTAACCTGCTTTCCCTACACCCTTTTGATAATATCCAGAATACATTTATACTTAGAGGACGAGTAATAGTCTAATAAGAAATGCCAGGGTCATGTCATATTCGTTTCAGGGTACACCTTTACAGGTTCAGTAAGTCAGAAAATGGCAAATGGTTGTGCTGCGAAGTATCGAACGCTGCCTCACACGTTCTGTTGGTATATGATAGATCAGTAGCCGAGAGAAGCCTGCTTAATAGAGAGAGAGAGAGAGAGAGAGAGAGAGAGAGAGAGAGAGAAAGAGCTAGGAGGCAGGCTGCAATCGTGCAATCGGTCACGGAACTGGTGGAGGAGATGCTGACATTACCGGATGATGAAGAGCAGAAGAAAGGCCACCGACCAAAGATAGGGTGCAAAGATAAGAGAAAGTAAGACGTACCGAGATTGAACGTAAATAGAAAGAGAGAGGGAGAAAAGGATTATACAGTGTTCAGCGGAAAAGTGCAAGAATGCTTGAAGATCGTGTATAAATGAGAAGGCAGATACCGACGTTATATCCTAACCAGGTCCGTTTTGGCGATAATATTAGTTAAAAAGGGTGTTTTTTAGCAGGCTGTCCCTGATACTGTCGGTGATGGTCTCTCGGATATCATCGTGACCACAAAGACGGTTCTACTTACTTTCCATGATCAAGGTATGATTTGACCTTTTTACAACTCCCCTTATAAAAAAATTAAAAAATTGTCGTATTCAGTAATGTATAATTGTTAAAGTTTATTGGTTCTCCCTTCTTAAATTCTATTTCCCATACTTTGAGTGTTAATTTGCTAATATTAGGTACCTAGTAAGTTTGCACATTCGTTTTTAATGAAACTGTTAGAGATTTCGTCAGGACTTTTTCTTCCTTTTCTGCTTTTTTTTTGCTTTATACTGAGTTTTAAACATTTTTTTATTACTTGGTGTTTTATATCATTATCTCCATTGTCCTCTATACCGTATACCTCTTCTTTATAGTTAGCTTAATTGTTATATGTGATGTTAGTTTTTGATATTCTCTTGAATATACAGGGTGAGTCATAACTATTGGGACATAGACTAAGAACAAGTTATTTGGACCAAAATATGGCTATTGGGCCAAATATGCCTTAATAAAATGTTGCTGAGAAAAAAGATACAGGGTGTTAAAATTAATTTTTGTTTTTCGTTTTTTGCTAATAGTTTCCCTGTATATTCATAAATTGCTATCAAAATTGGCACAGAGGCATAATCTTAGACAAGAAATAGTATTTTATTTACAATTCCACTATCAAATACCAAACTAATAAACAAAGTTGCAACTAACGTAAGGTTTCCGTTTTGACGATAAATCAAACCTAAACACACTTTACCTTAAAAGAACTCACAAAAGCTCAAACTAAATGTTCTACATGGTCTCCTCCGATTTCTATGCCTTTTCTAATTCTTTTTACAAAGGATTTTCGGACGTTAAAAAAAATATTA